CAATCGTATTTGACGATAGTGGTCCTGACAGAAATGCTGTACTTTTGAAGTATTTATTCATAAAAAAAATACGGAAAAAAAACACATCAAGTTTGCACAAAAGTATTAAGTAGCACAACTGTTTTCCATTGGTGATAATAATAATAAACTTGAGCACCAAATCAGTATATTTATGATTTCTGAATGATCATTGTGGCGAGCAGGACGAGGTCGAGGGCCATTGGAGAATGGCGCGAGGCCAGTGGCGTGAACGACACCTGCGTGACGCACCGGTCTCGTATCTCTCACGGAGGAGCGAGGACAGTGAAGATCTAGAGAGGAACTAGGCCTGATTTTATTTTGTGTTTTGTTTCTGTTTTGTGTAGCCAGCAGTCGTCCGCGAGGGGCTGCTGGCTTATACTTTCATTTTTGTATTTATTTCTTTATTAAAGTTATTGAATGTTTGCCGGTTTCCACCTCCTTCTTAACAACTGAACCTCGTTACAATCATGTAACAATAAAGAATAGTTAGCTGCTAAAAATTCACCATCACATAAATTATTCATATGTATTAAGATAGAAAAAAGTTATTTTAAATTGTAATATTAAAATTTTACAGCAGTATGTAGGTTGTCTACAAACCAGAAGGTTGGTGGTTCAATCCCCGGTTCCACTTGACCAAGTGTCGAGGTGTCCATGAGCAAGACACCTAACCCCAGCTGCTCCCGACGAGCTGGATGGAGCTTGCATGGCTGACACCGCTGTCGGTGTATGAATGAGTGAGTGAATGTGTTAATGTGAGGCAATATGTAAAGCGCTTTGGTGGCCATTGGGTCTGTGAAAGCGCTATATAAATGCAGTCCATTTACCATATTGATCATATTTACTCTGTCTCCTCTCCACCAGTAAGCTGGTGTGTGGTGAGCGTTCTGGCGCACTATGGCTGCCGTCGCATCATCCAAGTGGATGCTGCACATTGGTGGTGGTTGAGGAGATTCCCCCTTCCATGTGAAGCGCTTTGAGTGCCTAGAAAAGCGCTATATAAATGTAATGAATTATTATTAATTATTATTATATTAATTCACAATATTACTTTTACTGTATTTTTGATAGAAAAAATAGAAAAGAACCACCGCTCATCCTTCAAAAAAGTCTGCTGCTACATTAAATCATCATGGAAAATTGTACAAATACAGCAGCCGCACACTCAAACACTGTGCAAGATCAATTTATTAGCAAGCTTTCGGTCTTGCGACCTTCTTCAGGCATACAAACAGAGTGAATGTGGCCATACAAAAAAGCCCTTGTCAATCACCTCTCCTGATTGCATATTGCAGACACCTGTGTTAACATGGCTAAGGCTACATGGATAGGGAACATGGGAAATGTAGTTCAACATAGCCTATATCAAATATAGCCTTAGGCACAGGGTCTACTGAAAACAAAACACATGAATTACATAATTTTTTGATCATTGTATTTTTGATCAAATAAATCCATTTTTAATTGTCACAATACCAAGATATATGACTTAAAGGCACAATAGGTAAGATTTTGAATAAAAAAAATCCCAAAATCATAGGAACAATGTTATATATTTTGTTGACTTGTACTTGTACTGTAGCAAATTAGCTCAAAATAAATATTAATAATCAATCATAACTTGTAAAAATCAATTATGAATATTTGGATCTGTTAATAGAATTAATTTAATGTAGTAAAATTAATATTACAATCAATCAGCCTGTTCGTCCCGTGAACACTCAGTGTTAATTGTTTATTAATTCTAAGAAATGTTCATTCCCGGGGAAGGGAAATGTCTTTCTTACTGTACAGTTCTACTAAGAGCCTGTAGTCAAAATCTAAATCATAAAATAAACTTTGTTGCAAGCAGAGAATCAGAACCAAATATGTATTGTGCACAAGTTGTATTAACTAAATTACAAACATAACTAATCTAATCTAATCTAAAAGTAACAGAATGAAACCGGAAGCAGGAAATGGAACTATGGACAAGATCCATCAGCTTATTTTCAGAGCACCTCATTAAATATATACTTGCATGGCCTTTGCAGTGAAAGCATTTTGGGAAGTTCCTGAAGAAGGATTTTGATGGTTCCATGAGTCTGAGAAATGGTGATGAACTTGCGTGGTTTGTTTGACTCTGTGCAACCAGGAGAAGTGAGGAAGTCAGAAGAGTTGATGGTTGGAGTTGGGATTGACTTCTGCGTTGAATGAAGAATTTGTGCCAAACTCCTGATGTTGTCCTTGATTCTGCTGTGGTTGAGAGAGTCCTCTCTCTCCTGAATGAGCATATGGCTGGTTGTGGGTCAAGGCCTGCTGCCCTGTGGGCTGGTGAGGCCACGCGGGACAGCATACCGAGAAGGCCAAGAGAGGGAAGGGCTTGTGTAGAGGCCATTTAAAGCCTGAGAAAGGTCCCACCTCTCAGGGTTGGCTCGACCAATAAGAAAGGTGGAATTTCCAAGCGGGAGGATTTATGACTCTGTCTCAAGTGTGGTTAGACATGGGCCTTGCCGTTTGTGTCCATTTATACTCAGATAAATATAACAAACACACATTGCACTCTATGATGAGGCGATGTACACTTAATTGTGAGTCATTAAATGAGGTTTAATTAGATAGGAGACACGATATAGGTGGGGTTTACATTAACTAGTAGTTCTCTCATAAAGCATGCATAAAATAAATATAAATACAAGAGACAGTATACAAGACAAAAAAATATAACACACAATGTCCTGGGGTGCATGTTCATTTATAGATCAGTTCGTCTATAAATTAATGCAGGAAAATCTGTTTTAAGGGCTGTAGGTCTTTCCTATGGCCTCTGCTTTTTCCACGTGACCACATTTTTCAGAGCAATACAAACCATCTTATCTCATCGTCGACCTGGCGACTGAATCCTTTCCTGCTCTTGTCTCTTTTGGGGGGATGTTTTAATTGCTAAGAGTGGGCTTTAAAGCTTATTTGTTAAATGTAACAAATAGATATGTGTCTGGTTGTCTCAGTCGTTACATTACATTATCCCAAATGTTTAAATCCAGAGAAATCAGCTATTTTAACCAGTGTAACGGCCCGTGTCATTGTGTCACCTGCCATCAATGACGTCATATCCACGCTACCCTTGATTTCCGGATTTACTTCCATAGAAACCATGGCAACACCAAAGACGCTTTAATATCCAGAAAGAGCTTTATTTGTAGTAACAGTAATACAGCATTTTCTCCATCTTACAATGTTTTAAAATGAATTACATGCCATTAAGCAACACAAGTCATACAGCTTTTATTAATATGATATTCTAATATATCAATCTAGCTAACTGCAGTGCACAGCAGTGTCTCATACCAGCCACTGAGCGAACTTTCAACACTCTCAAATGTATTTTTAGTATGATTGTTTTGACCAGGTAAAACAGAGCTGCGTTACCCCACAAATATAATTCGTCAAATAAAGTGACCTTGAGTAGTAATTCAGCACTTGTGGCTGTTTCATTAAAATGAAATAAAATAATGGGAATTTAAGTGATCAAACGCAACTGTAACAAAGTTCAAGTTCAGGGAAGGAGGCAAACATTGAACTTTAATAGTAAAATATGCATAAAGAACAAAACGAAAGGAGCAACAGCAGCTGACTGTGCAATATAAGCATAATAAAAACAGCAACGTATAATGTCCCAGGCTCTCGGCCCCACCCTGTTTCATACGACATTAATACAACTTTAATATATTAGCTCACTGAACATGATTTCTGCCTGAGTCCCGTCGGATGGATTTATCTTCAGAGTTTATTGGTAGGGAAGAACTGGAATTTTATAATTAAACTTTTTTAATGTTTCATAAACATAACACTTGACTGTGACTTTTAAGCATACTTATATCATGGCTTCACAACACATAGGTATAAGTTAAGTAACTTTTAAATATGCACCAAGGGGATCTACCAAAGCAATATAATAAAATATCAAACACAACCAATCACTTACTGCTGATCTGTTCCCTGTATTCTATAAGTAAAACAATCAATAAAATAAAACGATACAGTTTCACTTTTACACATTTACTGTAAACATAATTTAGGCATGATGTATACATAATGCAGACACACATAGTGCACAGAGATAGCATGTTGATCTATTATTCCATCATGTTGTTTTTACTTACATCATATTTTCTTTAACTTTAATCAACATTTTATGTACACTACCGTTCAAAAGTTTGGGGTCAGTGAGAATTTTATTTTTTGGAGGAAAGAAATCAATACTTTTATTTATCAAGGACAGTAAAGACATTTATAATGTTACAAAAGATTCTATTTCAAACAAATGCTGTTCTTTTGAACTTCCTATTCATCAAAGAATCCTAAAAAAAAAAAAAAAAAACTGTACAACTGACAGACCAACAACTGTTTCAACATTGATAATAATAATAAATGTTTCTTGAGCATCAAATCCTCATATTATACTGATTTGTGAAGGATCATTTGACACTGAAGACACTGACACTGGTGATGCTGAAAATTCAGCTTTGATCACAGGAATAAATTACACTTTACTATATATTTACACAGAAAACAGCTGATTTACACTGGAATAATATTTAATACTATAACTGATTTTTGTTGTATTTTTAATCAAATAAGCGCAGCCATGGTTAGCAGAAGAGAATTCTTTTAAAAGTATTTAAAATCGTACCGACCCCAAACTTTTGAACGGTAGTGTATATATGAAACAGCATATTATTTTGATGACAAGCAGTGGCTGTGTTTTGTGTTCTGCCTGTGACGAGCATTGTTATTTGTCAGCACGTAGTTGCACAGCTGCTCAAAGATGCTTCACTTCACTCATACTGTTCAACCAGACTGTCAGTCATTCTATTGTACTCTGCATTCCCTTGCTTTTCATAAGCCTACATATCTTCATGTTCCATTTAGCCAAGAAAACAACTAAATCCTCACACTCGAGCCGTTAATCATCTGTAATTAGGAAAGACATTATTATATTACTCTGAGGTGTCTGCAGGAATATGTCTTTGGCAGTCTGCAGCCAGACGGAGGGACACAGTGGCCTCTGTGGTGCTCGGGTTGACCCGAAAGTGGTTGTGCGCAGGCTGGATGGCAATTACAAACTGCCGCTTAAAGGTCTTACTCAGAATAATATAGAGAAAAGGATTAATGCAGCTATTAGCATAACCCATGCTAATGGCAACGTGATAGACATAATAAAATGAGGCACTGGGTTTCTGTATTCCCAGATGGACAAGTTGAAGGATGTAGTACGGAGCCCAACATATGAAAAAGGCCAGACAGATGGCCACAGCCATCCGAGTCACACTTTTGGTGCGCACTCGTTGGTTCCTCGGGGGAAGAGGTGCCACTGTGGTAGACATATGCTTTAAGATTTTAAAGAACACCACACAGATAATCGTGAGCGGAAGGGCGAACGCCAGCACAAACTGATAGAGCGTGAACCAGCAGATACTGGTGGATGGATTCGGTAGCAGAAGAGCACATCCCACCTGGCCGCTGTGGAGAGGCATCAAGCCAGTGTACATTAAGACAGGGGTGATGGAGATGAGAGAGAGCGCCCACACAATCCCGATCACAGTGCCGGCTACACAGGTTGTCCGGACATGGTTAAAGCGGAATGGGTGGACGGTTGCCACGTAACGGTCCAAGGTCATAACGGTAAGGATGTAGGTGCTCACTGTCTGGCTGTTAGAATCTAAAGCAGAGATGACTTTGCACATAATAGCTCCGAAACACCAAGACCCGTTGCCCAGGAGCTGATGGATGAGAAAGGGCATTCCGAGGAGGAAAAGCAAATCCACAATAGAGAGACTGAATATGAAAATGTCTGGTACTGTTTGTTTAGCCTGACATTTGGTCTTTTTAATGATGGTGTAGATTACAATAGAATTTCCAGTGATGCCCAAAATACATATGGTTCCAAAAATACTGGGCAAGATGGCATTTCCATACTGGTCTCCCATTGTCACTAAGCACAAAACAGAAGCAATAAGAAGAGAAAGAAAAATTAAAAAGTTGACGTCCCGTGGTGTACAGCATTTATTAAGCAGCATTTTGCTAATATTTTAGATTGTGCTGTTTTTACGATGCTAAACTTAAAAGAATGGTGCCACGGTGCCTAAAATATACACTTTCTCTTATATAGGCTAGCCTATGTCCACAGAAATAATAAATATCGAAGTTTATTAAAAAACAAAACTTATGAACATGTTATGCATATGTATATGTAGCTATAGCTAAAAATTACTCATATAATAAGAATAAGAATAATAAGCTGTTGCCGTATTTTATAAACAATGTTATATTCGCTAACAAGATTATAAACAGTTCTGTTTCTGTGATCAGCTGATAACCTTTGAACCTAACTAAATTGCCACCTTTACTTCCACAAAACTGATTCCTGTCTATATCTGCCTACCTTGTTCCGACGAGTTTAAGAAAACCAGAGATGAGCTTTCAAAGTCTTCAGAGATATCCATGGTGAAAATTGCGAAAGAAATGCGGTTTCAACATCTACCTCTGCAGACAACAAAGCGGTAATAAGTGTAAGGCTCACAGTGAGGGTTGCACCTTTAGCACCGCCTCACATTTGCTAGGGCCTACTTATAATTCTATACCAAATTTTTACCGTACACACCGCTGAATAAATGAATAAAGGCGAATAAAAACGAAAGAATAACCCCATGGGCAAAACTTGTTTGAAGACGCGCATCTCGATGAGCAGCAGCATTCAGAGTCTGCAGAGAGAGAGAGAGGAGAGAGAGAGAGAGAGTCGCTCGTCTTTCTTTGGACAGCAGCTGACACCTCCAGTCATAGATGGAAACTGCACCTTTATACATCAGGCAGGGCATCACCATTTCTTCTTATATTTGCACAATTTCTCGTTTATTTAAAGGTTTGCAGTTTTTCAAATAACCACTGCACCAACCCAACAAGTCTGGCTTAATTTTTTATTGATTTCTTAACGTAACTCATAACTCATTAAATTGCATGTTTAAATAATCTCTACATTTTGAGAGACCGTTTGATATATCCCCCCCCCCCCCCTCCCCCTCCCCCTCCCCAAATTAAATTGCTTTATGTAGCCCACAAAACTTAGCCTATATATTTCATATTTTGTAGTTTATTTGAGCATATTTGTTAGTGCAACTGTTGTCCTGGAAATGATTGTCAAATTGACTTTTGCAGCCAGACTATTCTTTGAGTAATGGAGTGCAGCATTTCACCCTTTGTCCATTAGATGTCGCTCCGCTCATCTGTATGTCATGCTGCATTATTCTTTCTCATGGAGAACTGGGACAACCAATCTCTCTCCCGTTTCATGCCAAATCTGTAGCCTACTACAATCTTCACAGCGAGATGAAAAGGTTTAGATAACCGGGCACGCGCGTTTGAATCGAATCTCTGATCTATAGTGCACCGTCGATTTATGTAGTTTCTATTTATTAATACAGTGTGCGAAGTTTTTGTTTGGACCTTTCCATCTTTGCTGACCATAACACGAAGGAAGCGGAAATTAACAGCCCGCTTGCTTTTCCCAGAGCTACTCCGGAGTCGGGAAAATTGACTGAAATAGTGAGCCGTATAACATGATTTTACTGTTGTTAAAATACAGTAGTTTTATTTAGGTATCTTTTTCAAAGCGTAAGGGGGATCGGATCGGAGAGGGAGACTCTGCACCTCTGTGACTTGGGTAAGTTCTGTTTGCATAAGAACTGATGTTCGACTCGTTTCAATCAGATGTGTGGAAAGAAATATATGTGGTGGAAAGAAAAATATATATGTGAAGGAATTTATGTTTGAGTGATACGTGTTGGTGACTAATTCACAATTAAGGCTGAAAGTTTAGTGTCAAAACAAAGGATCATCTTAAAATCACAACATCATTAAATCTGTTAATCTAACACTAACTATTTATATATAACATAACGACTATATTAACAACTTATTATAATACTGCTGCAAACGTGCGAAGCGACAAACCAAAACGCTCCTATATAATCAACGAAGTTCTCTAAGCGACGTCCGTGACTGACGCCCAGGGCCCACGACACATAGTTCAGCGCGAGCTGTCCGGAGGTCTGGACCCTCGCGAACTCGTTACATGGTTGCAGCCTGTTGACAGTTTATTATAACGGCAAAGTAGTATCTCACACCACTAGCTGAGTCGAATAGTGGAGTGAACAAATCTTTTAAGTGAATCGTTCTCGTTCAATCCCTTGCACTGACTCCTATTTTGTTCATAAGCGCGTGACTCCATTGGTTGCCTGTCCAGTCTTCAAACGGACGATAAGCACGAGCAAATAGCATTCGAGTGTGGACTGTGAATGGGCATTCATTGGTTTCTGGATCGTTTGGATGAATACTGGCGTACAAGTCCTACGAGACTCGCAGCCAGGGATGAGTGACACTGAACGCAAATCGCGATACAGATAGTTCGTGAACGACTTGCGTGAAGATGTCTTGTTTCGTGAGTGTTTTAAACTGGACAATTTTACGTCAACATGGATCTGCTGACCGACTGAAGGAGGCGTCGTTCGTCCTGTTCGGTTCATGTTCTCGTTGACAACAACGAGAAAAGGGAGAATTATGACTAGGCATATTAAAATTATGTTTTTCCTGAAACTCAAAAGTATTTTATTTATTTTGCTCTCGTTAAAAGTCATAGCTGCAGTTGACTAAAAGAACGAATAAAATGGTATGCTTTGTTGGTTTGAGTAAAACGAGAATGATCCTTAAATACGCAAAAAAAAAAAAAAAAAAAAAAAAAGATTTTTAGAGATAGACAATTATAATTAAGTGTAACGAGTGTTTTAACGAATCGGTTGATTGAATCATTGATTTCGCACTTTAAAAAAGCCTCTGAACGAACCAAGCGAATCTAAACAAATCGTCTTAGTGAATCAATTCAAATGATTCAAATCACAGGTATGGATCAAAACCCCAACCACTAAGCTTTAAACGTAATCTTGACATGAATGTATGAAGAATGTCTTTGGATTTGCAATTAGTTGACATTTGTTGTGGTGCAAATGTGTCAGATCTTAATGACTCAAGATCTCACCAGTATTACCAAGACACCCCACATCACATCTGATTCCTCTTATTGGCTCATAGTCAGTTGCAAGAAAACGTCAGCTCGACCCAGTTATTTCGTTCCCTTTATATTTGCGTACATTGCACAGCTGCTTCACACCAGATCTGATTAAAAGGCAAAAAACAATATTTTTCCTTATGCTTTGTCTATATAGATAACTACATTTGTATCAAATCTTTATGTCTGTCTGCAGGTTGACAGCACGCAGACCAGGAAGATCTGTCACTCCACGGACAGCAGGGAAGAGGACAGAAATTAAAAGATTGAATCAGATCAGTTAGGGGTGTTATTCTGCATGTAGAAACACTTCCTTCTGGAGCTGTATATCTGTCTTGTGTCCACACAGTCCATGCCATGGAGGCAATAGCTAAATACGATTTCAAAGCTACTGCGGATGATGAATTAAGTTTCAAGCGTGGAGAGATTCTAAAGGTAAGTGTCATTTATTGCTGCAGCATTTTTTCATTTCTGTCTTACTGTATGATCAAGCCATGAGAAACCTGATATCTACAGATATCTCTAGTTTATCTGTTTATCCTTTTGCAATAATAAATTTATACAGACACATATTAACTTTAATCAGGGTCGAAATATGCAGCATTAATTTCGTAAAGTCTGGACGTGCCGTGATGTTAAGTCAAGTCAATTATCTTATTTGTATAGTGCTTTTCTCGATGTACATTGTTTTGAGTCAGCTTTTCAGAAAATCATGATTTTAATGTTTGTAATATCTCCATGCCTTATAGTCATATTTAGCAGATTAGAGCAAATATAGTTTACATTTTGGGGATATATAAACAATCAAGCAGTTGATGTGATCGTAACTAGAAATTGTAGCCTACAATTGTTTTGCTGTTTGGAACTCCGTAACATTGTAATCATCTCTTGGATATCACGTAACTTTTTTTTAATCTACTTTAAAGGGTTAGTTCACCCAAAAATGAAAATTATGTCATTAATGACTCACCCTCATGTCGTTCCAAGCCCGTAAGACCTCCGTTCATCTTCGGAACACAGTTTAAGATATTTGAGATTTAGTCCGAGAGCTTTCTGTCCCTCCATTGAAAATGTATGTACGGTATACTGTCCTTGTCCAGAAAGGTAATAAAGACATCATCAAAGTAGTCCATGTGACATCAGTGGGTTATTTAGAATGTTTTAAAGCATCGAAAATACATTTTGGTCCAAAAATAACAAAAACTACGACTTTATTCAGTATTCTCTTCCGGTTCTGTTGTCAATCCGCGTTCACGAGTCCGCAGTGACACTGGTGACGTAAGACGCTGCTGACGTCCGTGTATTGGGGTTCAAATAAATATGGCTGGGCAAAAAAAATGCAAGTCTTCCTCTGTGTCGAAATCCTTAGACATGTTTGCGAAGATTGTTTTGTTTACAGCGTGCGTCTCCCTCAGACTGTAAACGAAGCTCGGGCGCACTGATAACACGTCAGCAGCGTCTTACGTCATTAGCATCACTGCGGACTCGTGAACGCGGATTGACAACAGAACCGGAAGAGAGTACAATGCTGAATAAAGTCGTAGTTTTTGTTATTTTTGGACCAAAATGTATTTTCGATGCTTCAAAACATTCTAACTAACCCACTGATGTCACATGAACTACTTTGATGATGTCTTTATTACCTTTCTGGACAAGGACCGTATACCGTACATACATTTTCAATGGAGGGACAGAAAGCTCTCGGACTAAATCTCAAATATCTTAAACTGTGTTCCGAAGATGAACGGAGGTCTTACGGGCTTGGAACGACATGAGGGTGAGTCATTTTTGGGTGAACTAACCCTTTAAACTGACCACATGTTAAATAAAAAAATTAGTCCGTGTGGGGTAGCTTTGAGGCCATAAACTTTGACAGAATACACTATTAAAACACTTTAAGGAGATTTCAACAAACAACAAAAAATGTAATATAATTTAGGCTATTGCTTTTTTACAGCTTGATAAGTCATGCCTTAAAATTAAAATGATGTAAATTAAACATGTAAATTAAATATTTATGGGCTAAATAAAAAAAAGCGTGCACTGGACTTCTACTTTTCTCTGTCTGCTGCCTTTGATATCACAGCTCAGGATAATCACTAGTTAAGGGTTTGTGACTGCACATTCTTGTGGTGCCATCTGCCAACCTGTGTTGTCAAGATATAATTTTGTTGTGGCTCCAGAGTGATTAGTCACATGGCATTTAGGTTCAGATGATTGGCTCAAAAGAAATATGGCACCCACCCATGAGAAAAGATGGCAGATTCTGCACCAGGGGTTTTGAGCCAACCAAGCAACTGTCATTAAAATGAATGGGAATGCTAACGGATGGCTTTCTACGGATATTATGTAGACCTTCTTTACTGCAACTGACCAGCAAGTAGCATACACTACTGTTCAAATGTTTGGGGTCAGTAAGATTTTTTTCTCTCAGTTTTTTGAAAGAAATTAATACTTTTATTCAGCAAGGATACATTAAATTGGTTTAAAATTGACAGTAAAAACTTCTAAATTTAAAACTTTTGAACTAGGGCTGCACAATATTGGAAAAAAACTGACATTGCAATATTTAGTTTTTCTGCGATTATATATTGCGTTATGAAAACAATTTCACCAGATGACTTGAATAGCTCTGAATATGGGGTGATTTTGTAGGGGAGTGAATCTGCATAGAAATTAATAAACAAATTACAAGCATAGACATATACAATAGAACAAAGATACAAATAAAATATTCTAACAGTCTAACAGTATTCAGAAATGTAATAATCAAATGAGAAATAACACTGCATATAATTCACTGTAGAAAATTACATGTATTTAATCTTTGTTAAAGTTGCAAAAGTGATTTGCTCTTTGTATTTTGCTGTTTGATTAACATTAATGACACAGACAGCAGTAGGAATATTAGGCTGCTGTCACTTTAAGACCTAATGCATGGATCCAATAGAGTGGTGCAGGTATGATGACAGAGCCCAGAAGACTAATTCGGTAACTTGATACTTTGACAGTTTGTAGTAAATTACACAAACCCATAGCGAAAACTCAAATTTTGCAGCAGTTATGTTCATTTTTTAAAATGTACGTTTTATATAACAATTTGGGGGGTGTGCAGTGTAGACTGTATAACAAAACGTCAAAGTATCTGGCTTTATTTTATTCATAAATTGAAAAACTCCATTTTAAAACCCTATAGGAAAATCTCGAAGGGACCAGCGATGCAGCCCTATTTTGAACTTCTATTCATCAAAGAATCCTGAAAAACTGTATCATGGTTTTAAAGGTCCCCTGACACGGGTTATTTTATTATTTTATAATGTTTCCTGGGTTGCCCTTATAATGTTAGTATGTTTTTTAGATAAAAAATAGTCATAATTTAGAAATAAAAGGATTTTAGCCTCTGATTTGAACGCTCTGTTTGAAGGGGCGTGTCTGCTGTGGGATTCAGTGTAGCCAGCCACTGCTGTGATTGGCTAACATGCTTGCAAATGAAATAGCTACATATTACATGTGAAACTCTCTCGAATACTTTTACTACAGCTATTATACGTTTTTACTATTACAGCTATCGAGATTAACGAATCGTGAGAAGTTTTTAAAGTTTTTAGATCTATTCCCATCACATAAAATGTTGCCGTGATGAGCATTGAGCAAGCAGATGACAGTCTGTTGATCGCAAGAATGAAGATCTTATCATTGCAACGCAGTTTCTGCATTCTCTCTAATGCTTTCACCAATGCAAACACATGATGTACATACAGTAAGAGCTTCGTTGTGCAGAGTAACGTGCGTCATTGATTTCATAACGAGTTGTCCAGATAAACTCGCGCTGTGTGGAAAGATTGTTCTTTGATCGCTTTCTGTATAATTTGTTCACAATTTAAATAAGATTATTTTCATCCTACTAAAAGAAACGATGTGAAGTTGATATTTTAGTCACTGGCTTGACTTATGCATAAACAGTATTGAACGATTTTGAGAGAAAGATTACCTGTCTGAACTTGAACAATTAGGCTACACATCAGAAATTGTTGCTTGGTAGCTCGATCGATTTATTTTCAGACGTTCATCGAGGCTAGCTCTGTATTGTCGTCGGTGAAATGTTTGGACCATACAAAACTTTGGGAAGTTGTGTCGACGCATTTCCAGAGAAAATAAAATGAACCCATTGTTTCTTCAGAGGCTCGGATGAAGGAACTAAAAAATACTTTTGTGTTCATTTATACATCCGAACACTGATCAACTGCCATGCTTCGCACGTTTGCAAGCCATGATATCTCTCGAGGAAAAACTCAAATCGCGCTCGCGCGTTCATACTTCCTAGCTCATTTTCGCATGGGCGAGCCAAATTCTCTGGGCGGGCAAAGCAGAGAAAGGGGAGGTTACCTTTCCTCCGTATGACGTCATACGGAGGAGATTCAAGATCAGCTCGTCTGAGCTTTCATTTTCTCAAAGGCAGAGAAAGATAGCCAAAGCTCGGTTTACACCGATTGAAATTTCTAGCCACTGGGGGACCATATACAGGCTAGGGGAACTCATATTAATGTTAAAAAAACCTCAGAAAGTGAAAATTTCATGTCAGGGGACCTTTAACAAAATATCAAGCTTCACAACCTTTTTCAACATTTATTATCTATTCATCACAGGAATAAGTTACATCTTAAAATATATTAAAATAGAGGGGGGGGGGAGGGGGGTTAAACTATTTTTGATCAAATGTAGCCTTGGTGAGCAAAAGAGACTTCTTTCAACGATCTGTTTCTGTCCTGGTTCTGAACCAAAGGCAGTCAACCTAGCAACTCAGGCTCCCCCATCCACCCACCCCTGAAGGCTTCAGCTCCATCCAAAGGATTTTGGACTGGATTCAGGAGCGCTTGCCATCCTGCTATAATTTAATTTAGGTCACGTATCAGCTATTCTTGCCCCCTGGACCTTTCAACCAGCAAAACACACAGCTTCAAAGCTCTACATCTTTCTCAGCATTCCAGACAACTTTTAATCAGCAGCGTACATAAGTACTATCTGCTTTTGCATTCTGCCAACTAGAGTATGATCAAACATTGCTCTTTTCACCTGACTTTTACTTTGAGTTTCTTCAAGAATTCTGGCACACAGAGATACTGTGCCAAGTTTAACTCTAGCAGAAGGTCAATGAAGCTTCATCTCTCAAGAAAACCTTTGAGCCATAGGTCCTTGAAATCCATATTTTATTATCTTCTAAATTTAAATTTGTAATTGACAGGTTGAAAAAAAATTAACGATTCAAGTCTCCAGGCAAAAAGAAATTAATCTTAGTAATCACTAGCAACTTTTCCATATCGTTTTTACAATTGATCATATTAAAAATTACAGCCGTGCAAAGCAAGGAGTGCCAGACCTGTCTTTGCTTGTTGCATTTTCTTCATTGACTTCACCTCTTCAGAATGAAGTTGGAG